AGAGGCAACAGCTCTTCACTCTACGAAAAAAATTACGGCATATTCACGGGGTGAATGATGATGAATGGGCGAAGCTCCGGAGTTCCCCGCCGTCGTCGGCGGGGAACTCGCGCCGAAGCACGGCAATGGCATTACCCCGAGCCTGGTCGTTCTTGATGGAAGATATCGTGACTAGACTGTTCGAGAACCACAGTCTGTCACACACACCACAGCTATGGCCAAACGAAACGTCCAGGAAGTCGCGCTTGAAACGCGCGTCGGCACCTTCGTGTTCTTTTTTGGCGCGTTTTGCAGAAGCCTCTCGAACTCTCGCTTCGGGGTTCGCTTGTCGATACGCACGCTTTCTCGCCGCTTCCCGTTGTGTGGCGTTCGGCAGGTCCTGTTCACGCCGCAGCCGTGCCGCTGCGGCCTCTTTTTCACGTACGGCAGGATCTTGGCGGCGGCGTCGCGCCGCTGCAGCCTCTCTTTCACGTACGGCAGGATCTTGGTGGCGGCGTCGCGCCGCTGCAGCCTCTTTTTCACGTACGGCAGGATCTTGGCGGCGGCGTCGCGCAGCTTCACGGAGCGCTTCTGCCTCGCGCGCTCGCACATCAGGATTCTGTCTGCGAGCGCGCGCTGCTGCCGCCTTGCGCTCTCTCCGCTGTGCAGCCTTATTCATCCAGCGACTCCAAGCGCGCGCCAACAGCGAACAGATTTTATTACAACGCTCCCCCTAGCGTACGTCGCCGCACTAAATCGAACGATTGCCTTCAACCAATTACACGCGCCATATGTGACATCATTCCTATTTGATAAGATCTCGCGTCTTTCATCAACTACAAGTACCGCTTTCTAGTTTATAACATCTTGCATCTTTTCATCATCAGCTACAAGTACCACCATCTAGTAAACACTACAAGAACTAAACGAGAGGTGGCTACATACAGAAGACAGTACCGCCATCTAGTGAACACTGCAAGAACTAAACTAGAGGTGGCTACATACAGGGGACGGTACCGCCATCTAGTGAACACTGCAAGAACTAAACTAGAGGTGGCTACATACAGGCTACAGGGGACGCACAGCCCACGCCCTAAGAAGCTTCGCCCCTAAAAAGACCCCAGTCGACGCAATGCGTTGTGAATGGCCACAGACATTAAGGACTTCAGCTTTATTGAAATCTGTAGCTTTTGCGAAGCATGCAGAACGGTGACAGCGCTGGATGTTCGCCACCATGCTCACCACCATGCAGCATCGTCATCGTCATACAGTTAAATCACGAAATGCTCGTCGTGTCCGCAATCACGTTTTTCTTAACGTTGGTCTCCGTGATTGCCGAAGTTATATCGGATGTCCCAGTTTGTCGATTCGTTGTACACCGAGAAAGTGGACACGCAAGTATTCCAGTTTGCAGCATATATAAAGGGAAGACAACCGTCAACATTACGTCCTAGGGTGTGTGATAAAACAGTTCAATGCACAAGAACTGAGCGATGGATGGAGAATGCAATCGAAAAGGTGAAAATCGCCGGGGCCATTCTTGCCAGATAAAGCAAACTTCATACCACTGATCGTAAGATACGTTGCTCGCCAATCCACTCTATCGCTTTGTTATCATGTGTATACCCAAAGATGGCGCATTGAGGCGTTACAAAGCGTTTGTCGGAGCGTTTGTCTTGAACTCGATGTCATGCGATGCTTGCTGCACATAAATTGCGAGTCGCAGCACGTCGAAATAACGTAAACATCTTTTGAATTGTACTTACTTTTTCTTTGATGAGCTACCTACTTTTATAAAGCGAGGCTGGATTGACGGAAGAAAGTTGCCAAGTCCTTGATTTTTAGGAAACCGCGTCTCAACACCAACGAATAATGAGGACCTACGCACGTTCGCAAGAGGGCGGCACACTTCGCACTACCTGGTTATGGCATGCGCGGCAACGAGGGCGCTGGTGGAGGCGTTTTTTTTTTTTTTGTAGCGCCATCGCCTACACATTGTGCATTTATTTTTTTCGTCTAAGTAATTGCCATTGTTTTTGTCAACCCAAAATTTGTGTACAACCCTGATAAAATTGCCAAATGGTGATTCTGTAACTTTAAAAATTAGTAAAAAACACCCCCTGGACACAGTATAACGTGTGTACGCCGTACACATCGCGCGTTTGCTGCTCGGCGTCGATGTGCCGGGCTCTTCTCTCACCCAGGTGACGTGTTATCGGGTGCAGCCGCTGGTGCCGTGCACCGCCGGTGCCTCCGCTGCCTCTTCCTTGTCTCTCACTATCCTTTGTTAGTTATGCTGTTCACATGTCTAGGTAGCTTGCAGTTCGAGCAAACATGCGCATTTTTGATGATGGACACGTATAGCTCCATGCGCGAAGTGACACTCCAATGAAGGAGTATTTATGGAGATGCAGCAACAACGCGCGTCTCTTAACGGTGAGCGTACTGTTTTCGTGGATACTAATTGCACAGCGTAGGTGGGCGTCTGCAGCCGCTGTGCGGAAGTAGGCTACAAGTAATTTCAACAGTAGCATGCGTTCGCAGAATTGTTGCAGATGCCCAATTCAAACTGTCACTTAAGAATTTAACCCCGCTATGCGCGTTGATATGTAAGCGATTTCACCACTCATTCAATGAAAGATGCGGTCACTTATCAAGGATGATTAGTTGCTGACTTCACGTTGCATTTGGACTGCTGAAACGGCTTGTTATCGTTGTAAGATGTGTTTTAGGCTACGTCGTACCAATATTGTTATCGGTACTGAAGTGTGCAGCGTGCTTCGGCGGAAGGAAATGTCAAGAAAAACACCCGTGCACCAAGGTGCACTGTATAATTTGGCTTTTGCTGGCGTAAAGAATGTAGTTTGAGGTGCAGATATGGTGCGATGCTGCCAGCACGTACGCGGTAGTCTTTTAGACAGTTACTGCAGAATTGTGCTACGTACGCATCACGCAATCACCTTGCGTTACGTGGCGTCGTTTGCCACAAATATGCTTTAGATACAACTTAGTACTCGCGTACTTAACAAATGTGAAGCGTTCTGCACCATCTGGTACATCAGCATAGAAATACATGTTGTTGAAGGCCGAACTGAGCCAATCCAAGTGTGCTAGCCATATTATGGCCATATTTTTGCAGCTGTATACAGTGGCTAAAATATGGCGAGCATGGTATACCAGTGCTCGGCTTTGATTCCGCAATTTTGTGAAATGAATTCTCACGATGTTGCGAAAGCTTTTGAGAGCAGCGCGGCCACCTCATACGTACGCACGCGTTGCAGCATGCGTGCATACGTAGCGGCTGCGTACGTAACGTGATACGTGCGCGCTGCGGTCTGCGCAAGCGCACTGCGCAAAACGTGGCGTCCTCAGGTACGCAACGCTGCCACGTACGATACGTACGCAGTACTAAAACTCTGTAATGTTTAGGAGACGCTTGTCCGGTAACGCAAAGCGCTAGACTTCCTGTGGCGCGCCTTGTTGTGGCCACCGCCGTGCGCTGTTTTCTCTTTTTCTGTTTGCCGTTTGCGAGATTTTCTTGCGATGACATTCGACGTAATAAGGAGTTTTAGAATAGCGCACCGCGACCCTTGCGGTGCGGTCGCTGCTACTGCGCATGCGTCGTAACTTGAGTCGGCGTTCGCATTCGCGGACCGCACGCAGAAAATCCTAAAGTGCGTGCGGTTATGGTGGCCCGCATGTGGCCCGCAAGCGCTGGTTTCGAGGGTACGGTGTCGCTGCGATCGTGCGTTGCGGTTCGCAGCAGGGCAAGCGCTATTCTAAAACTCTTATGGCGTCCACTTCGCCCGCACCTCCCGCAGCGTTTGCAAACGGTTTTCTAATACTCCCTAATAACAAAATCGAGTGAGTATACGTGCCTGCGGAAGCTATGAGTGAGAGCTGTAGCATCAGCGATTGTTGATGTCAACGTAGACGGCGTTCGCGCACGTTCCTGTCGTTGAAGCGCTCGCACTCCCATGTGCTTAACCAAGTATTTAAAGACAAGTTATGTTTGTAAAACTCGCGGTCAATAATCGTTAACACTGTGCCCTGTCCGTATGGGCAGGGTGATCGATTTATGCCAGTGCCTTATTCTGAAAGCAAATTGTGAAGCAATTTATAAAAAAATGTTTTCATACTTGCAGACCAGTGCCTATTGCATGCCCGTAGCCAGGACTTTTTTTAGTAGGGCGAGGAAGGGGGGCGGCACATGTTGAAGGCTTATTATAAAAACCTATATTTTCATTATTTATTATGGTCGAGACAACTTGCTTCATTCTAATGGGCCAGTTCACTGTGCCGTTTTGAAATGTTATTTTGTTGTGAGCCTGCTTTCTGTCTGTGTAGATTTCCTGTTGTGTTGGCTTTGCCACCTCTTCACGATTCTGTCTCTCATCTTAATATTACGTTTTTCTTTCCAGGTTCCTTTTTTTATGTCTGCTCACGCTGAACAAAACTAAAGCATGGCAAGCTACAAGTTTTAATCCTCTAGCAGTTGCGACTTTTTGATTTTGCCTAGTTGCATCGTATTATGTGAAGACAAAAAAAAGCGTGTATTCAATGTATTGCTCAATTTTATCTATATTTGTTTACGTGTAACGGTTGCAAAAGTGACGTCAAGGTGCATGTGACTGGTTATGCACCAAACATGAGTACACGGGACAAAGGAGAGCTCATAAAAGACTGTCTAATGAAGTTAAAAGATCGCAGAAAGACAGCTTTTTAACGGCGTATGCAGGCGGCACTGGGTGACACATCCTTAATAGTCTCAAACGGAGTTCAAACTCCCAGAATGTCAGGGTTTGCAATCTGAGGCTCGAGCTGCTGTGAACTAACGTGTGTGAAAAATTAAGCGCGCGCTTGTAAATTCGCGTAGCGCGCGGAATCAATAAATTTTCCTCGCACGTTTTGAATAGACTTTCATACAGGTGATGGTAAATGAACGACTAAGAGTAGCAACACTATTGATGATTTGTTGACAATGTATGCAGAGAAAATAGTTGAGTATACAAGAGTCTCACCAACAGAGCCTTTGGGACAATGTTCTAGAATTTCCATTGTCCTCTCTACAACATCTTCGGGCATATGGTCAGACATAGCAGGATATGTACATAGGCTTGTTACCTGTAAGCGAGTCAGAGTGCGAAGGCTTTAAGTGCTGTAGCAATAATATGGACACTCTTGCATTATTTTTGCTGTTGGCGTAGCCGTTCATCCACGCCACCGCCATAATTATCAGTATATATATATATAAAGGCAAGAAAGAGACGACGAAACATTCACGGAAGCGAAGTCTTTACTAAACGTTTTCAGCTGGTGGACCAGCCTTTGTCTGAGTATACACACAAACCACACACACACACACACACACACACATATATATATATATATATATATATATATATATATATATATATATATATATATATATATATATATATATATATATATGTATATATACATATATAAGTGAAAGTAATAATTCATTGGGCCAGTTAGTCTTCGTGAAGGTATGGGATTTGGCACAACGGGAGCGTTGTCAACAAGGATAAATATATTTATTTCCCAACAGTTTCGGGAGGAGTCCTCCCTTCATCAAGGGATGAGTTATACTCACATGAACGGCAAACTTCGTTGCTGCCGCGTCCCTCTCGCCTTGTAAGATGTTTGCGAGAGTGAGAGGAAACTAAAAAAAGAAAAAAACAAAAAAAACAAAAAAGAGAGGAGAAAAAAGACGAAAAAGAAAAAGAAAAAAAGTAAAGAAGAGGAAGAACCACTGTCAACACTGAGAACGAAACCAACTGTTCGTGTAGGTCCACATACGGTTCTTATCACGTGCTGTACAGTTCTCGACGTGTGTCGGGCCGCCAAAGATTGTCGCCGTGGTGCCGGGAGGGTCCGAGACGGCGTGCGTAAAGAAAGGGTTTCCCCGTAATGGGTCGGTCGGCGTGCGGCGTGCGTAAAGGAAGGGTTTCTTGTTAATGGGTCGGTCGGCTCTTTACCCTTTATCTTCGTCCGTTTCCCTTCAATGGTCATCAAGTGGTAGGCGAACGTAAACACTTTATATGTGCTTGTGGAAAAAAGAAAAAATGAAGAAAAAAGGAAGAAAAAAAAGGAAGAAAAAAAGAAGAACAAAAAATAAGAAAGGACAGTGTACACGCACGAGTCAGTTAGAAAAGAGCATGGTCTCCAGCTATCAATCTTTGTCACCAATTTCCTCCTGGCTTACTTCTCGGAGGCAGTTGAGTTTTCCGGGGTCCTCGTTGATGCCGGCTACTAATGTTCGAAATTTGAAAATAAAATATGCCTCACGCTGTTCGCGCTCGCGTCTGTTTGAGAAACCGGACTGCAAAAGAGTGACGCTGATATTTTCAAAACTGTGGTTTGGCAAGCGCAGATGTCTAGATAAAGGTAGCTTCGGCAGTGAAGTAGCGTGGTACCGGTGATTATTGAACCGCAGCCAAAATGGCGTGTCTGTTTGGCCGATATATTCTTGTCCGCAGATGTTGCAATGTAGCATGTATATTACGTTACTGGAGTCACAATTAAGGCTTTCAGTTATGCAAAATTTGAAATCCGAGAAGTTCGCTTTGGATTCACGTGTTGTGACCATCTGTGGGCATACCTTTGCATCAAGCTTTTCCGCAGGGATGGCACTCTGTTTGAAATTTGGGGGTGTTTGTTTTTGCTCTGACAAGAATGTCCTTCAGATTTTTATTCCGGCGGTACACCACGTGAGGTGGCTACGCGAAAATAGAAGTTAGTCGTTTGCTTTGCCTGATTATGTTGAAATGGCTGGAAATCAACAACATACTTTACCTCCATTTCAACAAAATCAGGCAAAGCAAACGACTAACTTCTATTTTCGCGAAGCCACCTCACGTGGTGTACCGCCGTGATAAAAATCTGAAGAAAATTCTTGTCAGAGCAAAAGCTCCAAGCTCACCCACAATGTCCCTGCGTGACCTTCAAAGACGCGTCATGGAAGGTGCCCTATCCCCCTCTTTCTTTCTCCTCCTACCTCTTGTTTCTTCTTTTTTTCTTCCTTTTATTGTTTTGGTACTTGTTTGTTTTTTCCAGTGAATGAGACGAAGATAACTATTCGGCCCAGCATATGTCACTACTGTAAAACACCACTATTTTGTCGCTGTCTTCCGTTTCCTTCTTGCATCAGCATGTTGATGCGGCATGCTCGCATAGCGTCGCACTTGTTCGCAAACCCTGACGAAGACCGGCCAACTGGTCGAAACTGTTGGTAATAAACTTAAGACAACCGCTAAGTAGTGTTTCTTCCCTTCCGAAGTACGTTTGGCCCATTGAAAAAACTGCTTCAGTATATATATATATATATATATATATATATATATATATATATTGACACAATATTATTAAGATCTAACAGACAAAAATGCCAAGGATTGTGCAGGGGAAGTTATTAGAACCAATGGAATGTAAACAAGAAGAAGAAAAGTGGAGGAAAAAATAAAAAACCTGCTCACGGCTGGTTGTTTTTTCATCCACTTTTCTTTCTTCCTATTTACATTTCATTGGTTCTAATAACTTCCCCTGTACATTCCTTGGCATTACTGTCTGTTAAATCTCAATAATAAATATATATATATATAGATATATCTATATATATATATATATATATATATATATATATATATATATATATATATATGTATGTATGTATGTATAATGAATGAGATAAATGGAGCGGGAAGGCTATTGCTGGTAAGGCGATGTACCAGCTGCAGTTCTTGAGCTCAAGCATCTGCTGCACGCTGGATGCTGCTGCCTCTGTTTCGGAGTACTTCCTCCTCTTTACAATGACCCCGCGAAAAAAAAGGAGCCATCCTGGCGACTTAGTCGTGTGCAGGAGGCGTAGAACCATGGTACTGCATGAGTCTTTAGACGTGTACAACCTCGCGGTTGCGATGTCGCAAGTCTAACGGTGGCGTAAGAGCCTCGATGAGGTAATTTACTGCAGAATTCTGTTCGATAATACGACATGGCCTGTCGTACTTTGGCAGGAGTTTGGTAAAAAGCCCTGGTGTGCGATGCGGCACTGACAGCCACACAAGGGCACCCGAAAGAAGAACGGGAGTTGAGGGCTGAGCATCATGAATTGATTTTTGCCGGTTTTGGTGATCGGAGGTAAAGCGGCGAGCTGACTGACGACATTCTTCTGCGTGTCTAGCGGTGTCCAACAACGCCAGGCTTTCGGACGCCACCAGACACGTAGAAGAATGATGTGAATGGTGTGGGAGGGGTGACGGCCGTAGAGGAGGTAAAAAGGGGAGAAAGCTGTTGCTTGCGTTGCCGTAGTATAGGCGTATGTGATGAATGGAAGCACTAAGTCAGAGTTAGAGTGATCAGGCGTCACGTACATAGAGAGCATATTACCGAGAGTACGCTTGAAGCGCTCGGCAGCCCCATTGGTTTAAGGGTGACAAGCGGTTTATTTGCGATGCACAATAGCACACTCAGCGAGCAATTGTTCAATGACCTCACACGAGAAGGCGTGGCCACGGTCGCTGAGGAGTTCTTGAGGGCCTTCATGACGCAGCACAAAACGACGCCGTAGGAAAGTGGCAACCTCCTTTGCTGTAGCCTCTTGAACAGCAGTGGTCTCAGCATAGCGCGTTAGGTGGTCGATAACAACTATTATCCACCTGTAACAAGTTGGAGTCAATGAGGGGCCCATAAAGACCTATTCCGACCCATTCTAAGGGTCGCAAAGGGCATGTTAAAAGGTGCAGTTCACCGGCGGAGGCGTGCGGTGGCGTGGAGAGTGCAAGCGAACACGTCCCGACCGAGGGCGATGGTCGTCCTGGTAGCGGGCTGGCATTGAAGTGGAGGAACTGTAATGCCCGTTGGAGTCAAACGGGAAAAAGGGCTCACGGCGGTTTTCATTGGTGATATGCGTCGGGTGGCGGCAATACTTTGCAACGTGTCTGGGGTATCGACATACGTAATATATCGGGCGATTGTCAAGGGTGCGTCACGGGTTGGCGGTGTTAGTGCTCGTCCTGTGGACTGAAGGTGGGGGATAGCTCGCACGAGGCTGGAACGGAGGCGCAGGTGCCTTGCGAGTTGGCATGGCTGCAGCCGCGGCGTGGGTGAGTGGAGCAGACACAAGATTATGCTCGCGGGCAGGTGGTAGGGACTCGGCGACCTTTCCTTGAATGACGCCACGGAGAGACGACGGTAAAGCTGTAGTAGGTTCTGGTGGCAAGGACACCAAAGAAAGCTGTCGTGCGACTTCTTCCTGGACAAATGCTTTGTTTAAGCTATTAGCCACGCTTGGTCATGACCATTGGTCACACTAGGCAGTGATGCCTAATCGTGTGCTGAAAGACGTCTTGTCAGAGCTCGCTGCTTCCGCAATTAATCATACACTCCTGAAAAAAACCAATGGTACTTGCTACCCAAAAATAGCAAGTCTTCAAAAGTTACCTTCTTCAAGAGTTACAAAGCTAATAAATGAGTAACCATTGCTACGTTCTCACTAGCTACGGCTGGTACTGAGGTGCGACAGACTGAAGCAGCACTTTAAAACTTCAAATACACAATTGTGCGCACACCAGGTTAGCTGAATTGATTATTCTGATGGCCATATTTTGCTGAGAACATTCTAGCTGAAATGAATACGACAATATAGCAGGTATATATACCAATACTATAGATATGCACTGTATATATAAAATCGGAATAATTGCTAATAGTATCTATGACGTTTTTCTTGAAAACAAAAAGGAAAGGAGAAACAGGTGTTTTGTTTTCGTTAAAACTATACTAACACATTCTATATGTGGGGGAGGGGCCATATTTCAGGGCAAAGATGGTGAAAGCACCAAAAGGCCGTTCGGAAAGTAAAGCCGATATCTAGGGCCGGAAGGCACACGTTGTCAATATGACTGCGTGCCTGTCTTGAGCCCTGTTGTACCACTCCCCCAAGCGCCTGTGATAGAAATCAGCTGGTGCTGGTTGGGCTCTTCCACTTACATATAATAAGGCAGACATACGTTAAACAGAGCGGTAATGAAAGTATAAAGGTGAACAGTGAAAATGAAACAAATAATAACAAACATAAAGGCATGAGTGATATTATGTGAGAG